TTAAAGACACTTACTCTCATTAAATATGTTTTCTTCTTATTTTCTAAAATTATGAATTTATTTCAGATCTGAAATATGTAAAATTATTGGTTAATTATTAATATAGTCTGAGTGTCTCTTAAAATTACATGATCCGTCACCATGTTGTCAGATCATGTGATTCCAATCACAAAAACTAAGAACGGAAAATCAAAGCATTTGTTCTTATAAGAAGTGATATTTCCAATATATATATCGACGACCAGTTCTTACAGGAAGGTTGTTCTTATAGAGAGATGCGACAGTATTTTGATTTCAACTTTCTGAATTAGCCGAAATTCTAATTGTGTGACTTAAATATATTTAATCAAATAAAAATATAAATATAAAATGTTGTTATATTCTTATATGATTAAAATATATTAAAATATTTAAAACTGAGATAAAGATCTAGTTCAAGTATCCAAAAAAGGTTCACTCTTATATTGTTAAAGTAATAGTAGAGTACTTTTATACTAGTTCAGTAATATGAGAAGAGCATACAAAGAAAGTACCGGTGAATGAGATTGTAATTACTTTGATGCAAAATCTTATATTCTGGTATTGATTGCAAAGGAAACGAAATAACAACCGAAAAATACTCAGGACTTTGAGATTTGATTGATGACACGTGATGGTCGTGGACGGTTTTATTTTCATATTTCATAAAACTTTATTTTAAGTCATTACAGTATTTTCTTTAGTACTTCGTTATCTTTGTCATATAAGAGTGTGAGATTTTCTATGTTATTATAATAAATCTTATTAGGAAAAAGTAAAAAAAAGACGAAGACTGCATAATCTATGTTAAAAAAAGAAAGAATCAATAAATGTGGTCGTGGCATAAGACTGCGAACTGGAAAATGGTTATTCATGCCTTATTATATTCTTCAATCTTCATCTTCGCCTGCGTCATCTATACCTGATGGCACGTCTTCCCCACTTTCTTCGTCTTCTACTTTAGTGGGTTCAATTTTACAGAAACCGAAATCTCTCCTATAATCATCAGTATTCAATCTTTCTCCAAATTTTATCTCCCTCGAGCTTTCTTTAAAGTATATGTCATTACCTTCCTGGTTGATCGATTTTTTGTATATGCGTTGCGCTACTCTTTTCATTGCTTCTTGAGCGAGTTTCTTGGAGACGAAGCTGCGAGTTTTGATATGATAATCATAGGTTTTGTACGGTGAGAACAATATCGTCAAGACCCATGTTGTGTTGCCACCCTTAGCTGAAAGTCGAAAAGAGATAAAAAATATTCAGGTCTTGATTACATGAATACAAAAAAGTCTAACTAGCCTTTTTCGTCTGGCGGTTGCAGTAGTGAATTATCTTTCTCTTTGACTCGCGAGGCTCCTGTTGTGTTGCCATAGTCGGAAAAAATAAAAAATATTCAGAACTTGACTACATGAATACAAAGAAAATCTAACTGCCTTTTTCGTTTGACGGTTGCAGTAGTGAACTACCTTTCTCTTTGGCTCGCGGAGTTCCTGTTGTGTTGTCATCCTTAGCTGAAAGTCGGAAAAAATAAAAAATTATTCAGATCTTGACTATATGAATACAAAGAAAGTCTAACCGCCTTTTTCGTTTGGTGTTTGCAGTAGTGAACTACCTTTTCTTTTGACTCGCGAGGTTCCCGTTGTCGACATTTTTTTTTTTGTTTTGCGGTTGGCCAAACAAGAACTCAATTTATCCCAGATCAAAATGTAAGACTAATAGAAAGTACGTGTTTTTATTATCTAAATACGTAATTTTGTATTAATAGAAGGCCCGTGTATGATATATTATTTAAATACGTAATAGAGATTGGGCGCTGGTTTTAGTTATTAAATCTCTCTAACTCTCTATAATAATTAAGAAGATACAGTGACTCAACGAAAAATGAAAATTTTATGAAACAAGCTCTAATGCCTCTAACGTCGATTAAATATACCTGATTCCTAAAGCTAAT